TCTCTCTCTCTCTCTCTCTCTCTCTCTCTCTCCCCCTACCGTTAAAGTAACTTGTGTATTGTTTTACTTACTTGTTTTTGACATACCGACCGAACTACAAACTTTTCCAGTGATGTCTGTGAGAAAGTATATTCACTCGACAGGCTCGTGCATCTGCGCCGCCGCGCGCTCAATCCACTCAGCGTGCTTTGTTTATCAGCTCGCGCACATCAGCTATCCAGGCGTTAAATCAAAGATCACACAACAGAAGTGCGCGCGCTCTCTCTCTCTCTCTCTCTCTCTCCCCCTACCGTTAAAGTAACTTGTGTATTGTTTTACTTACTTGTTTTTGACATACCGACCGAACTACAAACTTTCCAGTGATGTCTGTGAGAAAGGTATATTCACTCGACAGGCTCGTGCATCTGCGCCGCCGCGCGCTCAATCCACTCAGCGTGCTTTGTTTATCAGCTCGCGCACATCAGCTATCCAGGCGTCAATACTGAATGTTTAACATTGTATTCATTGCATACATATACTTTGTAGTAGACAAAACTCCTTTCTGCTGTCTGTTGTTCTGTTGTCTGTGTTTCTTTGTTTGAATATGGCGCTTATCACATGCTGTGTGGTATCGGCGTTTGGTATCGGGGCATTTTAACGAGTACGAGTACAGGAGCTCAGTATCGGGCCGATACCGATACCAGTATCGGTATCGGTGCATCCCTAATATTTAATATATAAACGTAACATATTTTTCTTAAATATATACATGCATGTGTGTGTATTTATATATACATAATAAATATATAAGGTACACACATATATTATGTAAACAAAAACTTTTATTTTGGATGCGATTAATCGCGATTAATCGTTTGACAGCACTACATGTATTAGGCATATGACAGTTTTTTTTTTTTGCAAAAAAAGTGTCATAAACTACAACAGGTTTAATAACTTTTTTCGTATAACAAAAAGAACTGATCATTTACATACAATAAACTAACGTAATACACAAAACATATATAAAGAAAAACATTTCACGCAGATTACAGTGCAAAAGAATTTTAAAGACCAAGAAGTAACACTTTACAATATGATCTCATTAGTTAACCTTAGTTAATGCATTAACAATTAATAATGAGCAATAGCTACATTTGCTACTTAATCTTTGTTAAAAAAAAAAATACAACTGTTCATTAAATAACACAGTTGCACCTTTTGATTTTAACAACGTGTTATTAAATATTGAAATTACGTAAGATTCATTCATGTTTAGAAGAATTTTTCATTGGCAGTTTGTTAATTAATGATTTAACTAATGTTAATTAATAGAGACTTAATGTAGCCTAAAGTGTGACCAAACAATAAAGAATCAAAACATTTTCAAACAACATCTAGGGCATGTTGTAGTCCAGATAAAATGTTTAAAAAAAGTTTGAAAATAATAGCCTATTAAGTCTAAATATTGAAGTATTTGGTGCTGTGATGAACACCAGAGAATACAAAAATATGAATGGCTGTTTAAACCATAGATTTGTATCTAATATGGTTTAAACCATTTAAAGGGGTCCTATTATCCTTTTTCACTTTTTGAATTTTAGTCAGTGTGTAGTGTGTGTGTTTGGGCATAAAAAAATATCTTCAAATTTACAAATCTCAAAGTCCCCTCCAAAGGGAGATATTTCGTTTTTAAAAAATCCCTTTCCGAGAGCTACAACCAACTGCTCGTTTGGACTACAGCGTTTCTTATTCGGCTCATTAGAATATCATTAAAATAATTCCCGCCTATGGAAATTCGAATGGTTGGGGGGTGGGGAGGGGCGAGGTCGTGGTTATAACGCTTGGTTGAGTGCATCAGACAAGACTACGAAGCAGAAGTGCTGCTGTAGCCTCAAGTTTTCGAAAGTTATTACACATGCACCTGAATAATTATGTATGTAAATATGTATGTTACAATTATGAAAACGTTTTTATAATAAATTGCTGACAGTACAATACTGGACAATGACGTAATCTGCAGAATTTACATTTCAATTATGAGACTACAGTGTTTCCCATACATTGAGTGCGGGTGTTTTTATATCACTGTATTTCTGAAGGAAACCGACTGTCCTCAGAAAATTGGATGTCATTTTCATTTAATCTTGCATGTAATGTCTGATGTGTTTTTTGGAGCAGAGCGCTGCTTTGTAAAGGACAAATCAGACCGAGCTACTGTTGAACAGGTGTGTTTGTTTAAGCTTTATTTGTGATGATTTCACTAGCGCTCCAGCATTATTCAGTGTGATATTTGAATGTGACTGTACAGGTTTTGGACCCCCGTACATGTATGATTCTGTTTAAAATGCTCAGCAGAGGCATCTTTTCAGAGATCAACGGCTGTATCAGCACAGGCAAAGAGGCAAGTTTGTTTTGATGTCATTTTAGTGTTATTGGTATGTTCATTAGTTTTAGTTCATTTATTCTTTTAGTTATTTTAGTACTCGAGGTTAAAAATTACAAATTTTGGGAGGGTTTTTCCAGTCAATTTTTTTTTTATTTCAAGTAGTGAAAAGTGTTTTAGTTAACTATTATAACCCTGGTTTGTTTGGATGAAATCAGTAAAATTATCCCTTACTATATTTTTGGTACACTTGGGATCTTTTACTAAGAACTAATGTTAATGTTGCTTTTTTCATTTTTTTCGTTTGCTATTTTATTTTTTATATTTCTTTCCTGCATTTTGTACCGCAGGCAAATGTCTACCATGCAACTACTGCAAAAGGAGAAAGCAGAGCCATCAAAATATACAAAACATCAATTCTACTTTTCAAAGACAGAGATAAATATGTCAGCGGGGAATTCAGGTAAGTTAGGTGTGTTTGTTCAGGCATTTAGTCCTATTTAGCCTTATTGATGTGAGCCATTAAACCCTGAATTTCTGTTTGAATATAATTTAGGTTCCGCCATGGCTATTGCAAGGGCAATCCTAGGAAAATGGTGCGCACTTGGGCTGAGAAGGAAATGAGAAACTTGATCAGGTTAGTATTATGACTTCTTTCTTTTTCTTTCATGAACTTATTTTATGATGATTTTTGTCTATAATGCGCATCCATTTATCTCACGACTACAGACCGCACAGATTCCAAGTCCTGAGCCCATCATGTTGCGGAGTCATGTTCTCGTCATGAGCTTTATTGGTCGAGATGACATGTAAGTGGGCATTTACCTTCACCATTTACAGATGCACAAATACTTATCAGCAACTGATCCAAACATGGCAATTAACAAATTCCTAAATGACACTCCAGGCTTTTTAAGTGATCTTGTTGGTGTATTCCTCCGGCCTGCCCCTCTGCTGTAAAACGCTGTCCTTTCTGAATCCAGAGCGCGGGAACTCTACCTGCAGATCATCCAGAACATGAGAATAATGTACAATGAAGCTCGTCTGGTCCACGCTGACCTTAGCGAGTTCAATATGCTGTAAGCTGACTTTATATTATGCGCACAAGGTTTTTAAGCATCAGTTAATGTTTACTGATGTTTAATTGTACTGTGATCAGTGGAAAGTGTAGAAAAACATTAAGCACTGCTGTGTTCTGGTGTGCAGGTATCATAATGGAGATGCTTATATTATTGACGTCTCTCAGTCCGTTGAGCACGATCATCCTCATGCTTTAGAGTTTCTTCACAAGGATTGCAGCAATGTCAATGGTAATTATACAGCCTTTAATAGTAATAGATATTATTAATGTTAATGTCAACATTTTTTTTTTTATTCATTTTGATCTCTCGGACTTTTTCCAGAAACATAATGTGGCAGTTATGACTGTGCGTGAGCTGTTTGAGTTTATCACTGACCCCTCAATCACAAGTGACAACATTAATCAGTATTTGGACAAGGTCAGTGAGTTGCATTGAAGCATTATCGTTAATCCTAATGACAGGCTGTTTCTTTTTCTTGTGACTTTTTGTGCATTCAGACAAGCTTGATGTGATTGGGTACTAGAGCTAGGTAAAATATCGATTTCTCAATTTTAATCGATTCTCATTTTTACGAAACTATCGATTCTTAAATCCAAGAACCGATTCTTCTTCTTGCCTGTTTTCAGTTAATGGACGGAACAGTGTAGCGCATTTCCCATCTAATAAATCACAATAAGCTTTGTGCTTTGTTACTTTTGATATGAAACAAAGTCTCAGATTTCAAATTCTGTCCATTTTATTACAATATTTAAACAATAAATGCCGTTTTGGCGCTGTTTAATGTGGAGTAACAGGTCGCTGTAGCGCCTCAGTTCAAGAGAAGCGGCAGCACAAAAAGCACGTGAACTGATTGTCTACTTCACTTTAATACCAGTTTCAGCACAAAATAAACATGAATGAACATCAGAAGGTATGTAAAAAAAAAAAAAAGAGTACAACTTACTGAATTCCGTATCCTGTCTCGTGTAATTTCTCAATCGGGGTTTCAACAGCGAAAAGACGTCAGTGTAACAGCTTGTACACAATTGAACGTAACATCACATTTACCTCAGAAAAACCATAAACTCGCTAGTCAGCTAGAAAAATTAACTATAGAGGAGCATTTTGCTAAATATATGCACTGTATAACATATTCTTTCATTTTTACTGTTCTTCAGTGTTTAATGTATGTTTGAATAAATCCGTCAGGTTTTTATGACAGCCAACATTTAAATGTTTATATTTCAAAAAACAATTTGGAGTTGAAATATAATTATGTAATTGTAACTTCATTATTATAAAAACTTAATTGAGTGTATTTTTTGTATACAAAATCAAATCAGTTAATTTTAACCTTCAATATTATAGAAATGTAGTTACCAGCTGACTTTACAGTATGTTTTTTTTTTCTTGAGAAAATTTATGTACTGTACCTGATATATATTCAAAACAATCAATACTGAACCAAATCAAATTGAATCGCAAGCTTGTGAATCAGAATCATATTGTGAAATTTGTGTCAAAACCCAGCCCTATTGGGTACATACTGTACATGTGTTTTTTAGCATTTGTTGTAGATTGACTAAATATGTTTGTGGTTTACCTGCAGGCGATGGAGATAGCATCTGAAAGAACTGCAGAGGAAAGATCCAATCAGGACGGAGTTGATGAGGAGGTGAACTCATTTTTAACATTTCTCAACATTTGCATCCCTGTCCAAGCTACCAGAGTTCACACAGTCATGGGAAATTGTAGAATTATTAAATAGTAATGTGCAGTCCTGAAAAAGTCATGGAAATTAGATGTAATGAAAATGTAAAATATCATTGAAACATTCTTTCTGTGGTAAATATGAGGGTTTTTTTCTTTTTGGTTTTCCCCGCTCTAAAATAGTCAAGATAATAGTCAAATATTGCTCTTTGTGAGCACTTGTATAGAGTAAAGGTCAGTGTTGTTATAGTTAACCTAATCTAAAACTATTAAAAATAATTTTCATTCATTGAAATAATGCTGAAATAAAATATGAATTGAACTTGACAAATTTAAACTAGACAAACAAAAATGAGAAATGTTGGCAACAATCTTATAAACTAACCAAAGCTTAAGCTGAAGTACTAAAACTGAAATAAAATGAATGAATTAAAAAAAATAATAATTTTTATTAATAAAAATGACAAACACAACAATTAAGAAAACTAAAATGAAAGCAAAAAATATAAAAAAAAATAAAGCTAATACAAAGTATTAATAATAAATACTATAACAGTATATAAATAATACTAAAATAAAACTGGTAAACAATCCGTGTATCATTCGATCATTCGTTTTTTTATTTAATATTGAAAGTAGAAAAATGAGAAAACGGCTCCTTTTTCGTTTTTTTTTTTGGTTTTTTTTCCAAAAAAAACGAAAAACGAGAATTCAGCTTAAATTTTCGTTTTTCGTTCATGGGTGGAAAAATGAATAAACAGCTTGAATATTCGATTTCTACATGTGGGCGGGAATTAAACGCCTCTTTCTGCTGAAAGCATTCTGATGGGATACTGAGGGTTTGGTGAGAAACAAACCGAAATGCAGTGCGAGTGCGCAGCAGCTGCCGCACACAAGTGCATATCCTTTTGAGATATCAGTTATAATCCATTTTAATAAAACACAAAACTACATTATATAACTCTTAACAGTAGGCTATTTACTATCCGTTGTTCTCCAGTTGTCAGTCAGAATGACAGTTCTTGCGTGAACATAGGCTTGTATATACCCAAGCCAATTTATTATTCTTTCCTTTTTGTCTTAGTGTTTAAAATATTTATTTTGAAACAAATTAATTAATTAATTTCTTAATTAAACAAACAAACAGACCTACTGGGTGAGCAGGGTAGGCTATGACAGCTGTCATATCATACCCTGCCATGCCCAGCTGATGCAAAGAATAGAATTTATATCTACACAGAAGAAAGCCCTGTCTAGACTCTGCCCCAGTATGAGTTGTGTTGAGCTATTCATAAGCCTGTTTGTTTGATGAAAAAAGATTAAATGTAGTTGCAATAAATGCTTAAGAATCCATACAACTGCAGCAGTGGAGGACTATTATTCTGCTGCGTGAAACTGCGGAAGAACTGATGATGGCACGGTTTGATCTTCAGCTGACCAATCAGCAGAAAGGGGCGTTTAATTCCCGCCCACGTGTAGAAATAGAATATTCAAGCTGTTTTCCACCCTTTCCACCCATGAACGAAAAACGAAAATTTAAGGTGAATTTTCGTTTTTCGTTTTTTGGAAAAAAACAAAAAAAACGAAAAAGGAGCCGTTTTCTCATTTTTCGACTTTCAATATTAAATCAAAACACGAATGATCGAATGATACACGGATTGTAAACACTTGCTAATTTTGTAATATCTCATACACACACACACACACACATATATATATATATACACACACATATACACCAGTCTGTCCATTGATGGTCGTTGTGAAGACATTTGTACACAAAATATAATTTTTAACACTTCAAGGAATCATACAAATGGAAATAGAAATTCTTAGCTATCTCTATAAAATTATTTTGTTAAAAAACCCATGTAGTACAGCAATCATGAAACCAGAAAGGTCAGTGTTGTGGGAACCTTTTCTAATGATTCACTGGTGGATCTGTCTCAAAACAGGTGTTTAAGAAAGCCTACATTCCACGCACACTTACTGAAGTCACCCATTATGAGAGGGATGTGGACGCAATGTTGAAGAAAAAGGAGGAGGCTTCTTCTGAAGATACAAACACAGACAATGTACGTCTCACCACCCTAAATGAAAAATAATGAACTAATGTTCTGAGAACTAGTAGCAGTGGATGAAATGATCTGTTTTCCATTACAGATCCTCTACCAGACAGTACCAGGCCTCAGGAAGGATCTTTCTGGTGTGCAAACTGTGAGGAGAATGCCGTTTTTGTTTTTAAGAAGACCATGTGGCGCATTAATGATTAAGCGTTAGGTTTAAGACACCTTATGTGGCCAAGACTTTGTTTTTGCTATTAATGCACCCACTAGGTCTCTTTGGAATTTTCTTTGCCTACATGGCATGTGGGAGGATTAAGACAGAGAATATAAACAACAGCCATTGCCAAACTCAAGCGTAATGACAATGAGAAATCAGATTAAAAATGCTGTTGCTGAATTTTTTACTTAACAGGTACCCTCGATACTGGAAGACCTCCACAAAGGATGATAGTTCAAGCTCTGAAGGAGAGGAGGAGGAGGAAGTCGATGATAAGTCAGAAGGGGAAGACACAGGAGAGGGTGGCAGCCACACTGAGGAAGCACAACTGGACAGAAAAGTACCTAATGGGAACAGAAAATGTTGCAACAGATGAATTGTGTTCATGGGTTGTGAGAATAAGTTTGTATTTCTGTGTCTTTCAGGAAAGAAAGAAAATGGTTAAAGAAGCTCAGAGGGAGAAAAGAAAAAATAAAGTGCCAAAGTATGTGAAAAAGCGCAAGGAGAAAGTTGCCAAAATGAAGAAAGGAAGATGAATATGGTTGAGATGAAGGTGAACTGAGATTATAGCAGAAATGCTACTTGACTGATGGTACCAGTATTTAAGCTGGGAACTATTGCTGATGAAATCAGTCCCTTAACAATTAGAAACGCCTGATATCAGCATCATATTTTTAAAATGTTTATTAAAAGTATTCTTTTTAATAAACGTATACTTTCTTTGATATACTGCTTGAATGGTGGGTAAAATATGTTTTAATGCAGACTGACAATTCAAATAAATTTTTGTTATAGTGGAACATTTAATTTACATTGTGCAGAACAGTTTACACAAATGTTCATGTTTTACAAGGCAACATGCTGTTAAAAATAATGCACTCTTTCATATTTAAGTGACAAAATCCTCTTTACAATCCTCTATACATCTTGTACATTTAACATTTATTTCAAAGTAAATGTCATATTGGTACAAAACTGTTTATTACATGACATACACTACCTTTCAAAAGTTTGGGTCGTAAGAGTTTTATTTTTTTTTGGAAGAAGATAAAAAAAATACAATAAAATTGTAATATTGTGAAATAATTTAAACCATTTAATATAAATGTTTTCTATTTTAATATTTTTAAATGTAACGTATTCCTGTGATGCAAAGCTCAGTGTCTTCAGTGTCACATGATCCGTCAGAAATCATTCTAATATGCTGATTTATTGTTTTATTTTGTAGGAACTGTGATTTTTAGGATTTTTTGTTGAATAGAAATTTGAAAAGATCAAATTTATTTTAAATAGAAATGTTTTACAGCAATGTAAATGTATTTACTGTCACTTTTTATCAAATTAATTCATCCTTGCTGAATAAAAGTAGTCATTTAAAAAAAAAAGAATGAATTAATAAATAAATAAAAAAATCTTACATGGGCCAAACTTTTGAACAGTCGTGTACATTCACTTAGACTGGACGTTCAGAGTAACAAAATAAGAAATGTAACATTATAAACACTTACAAAGTGGGACAATTTGCACTATTAAAAAAGAGCTGTTCCTGTGACCATTCAGATATAGTGTTTGATTTGAGGCTCAGAGAGACAACTAGCGAATGCCCTCTACATAGTTAGCAGGCAGCATACCCGACCTCGCCGTTCTCTGTACCGTTCCATACATCCAGCCTTCATCGATCGGCTGCACGTTCTGAATGATGTCACCGTCCCGGAACGACACCTCATCGTAATCCTGCGCCGTGTAGTCATACAGTGCCCTGTACACAGTCTGGTGACCAAGTTTTTGTGCAATACAAGTATTTTATGGTACTGAATACATTTTAATCAAAAAATGTGTATATGCTACATAATATTGTAGAAAATCAGGACTCACCATGCTCATGTGTTGTGACCTCAGTGAATGCATGCTTGTCTGATGCATGTAGCTGTGCCCATGGCTGTGGCCACTGGGATAGTATGCACCAGGGAGAACAGGTGCTAAAACAACAATTATCAAGATGATCTTGACCTTCAATAGTACTATTTTGCTTACAGTTGTAAGTTTGATATTTTGATTTAGGTTATCTACTGATTTCACTTTTTGTAGGGTTTACTACCAGGTGTGAGCATCTCACATTAGAGAACTTACCCACAATGACGCCAGGTCTTCGATCCATCTCCATGATGTACTGATGAACCCCCTTGTGTGTGCTGTTCCCCACCGTCTCATGGTTAGGTGTCATCTGAGCCTGTACCAGGTACGTCCCGTGCGTTCCCTGAGTGACCCCATGCAAACCTGACACCTCAAAATCCTTATGATACTTTGCCTGCAAGAATGGAGATGTCAGCTTTTTCATCCACATGTAAGTGTGATGTATACAGTGTTCAAATTGTGTCAAAGATCTTGGGGGGGGTCCCCCTAACCAGACCCCCTCCACTCCCCCTTCAAAAAGATAAAATAAATAAAACCTTGTATAAATATGATTCATATTTTTTGTCTTGTCCTCGTTATCGTTGAGAAAACCTAATTCTAAGATAAAAGCTTGTTTTACGATGATCAGTGAATTATGTGCACCAAACAATCACTAAGCAAAGAAGAATTAAATATCTATCCTAGGGGTGTGCAATATAGACAAAAAAATTATATCTCGATATTTTCTGGGATTTTATCAATAAAGATAATCAGACGACATTTTACTGAGTGTGTTGCGCTGCAGGACTGCAGTGGACAGCTGACTCCTAAAGTTTTTGATATTCTTTATATTCTGCGTGGTCAGTTCACAGCAGTGATAGAAATTAATGACTTCCAACAAGTTTAAAGTGATTTTTACCCTTTATTGGCATTTTTACCTTTATAAAGCCTTTTTTTCTAGAAAATCATTATCATTAAAATCATTATCAACAAAATTCATCTTTGCAATGCTGAGGAAACACAGAAGCTGCATCTGAAGTGGCATTCAGATGTATTTACACATTGTTTAATGCAAGACATGAATGCATTTAACCTGCAGTTACAAATGCATAAATGTTTTGATATTTTAATCCTAAAACACTGAATACTGATATTTGAAATTATTTAAAAATATATACTTTAAATGTGAAATTAAAACCGCCAATAGGTGGCAGCAAGTCACTGTTACTGTTAGTAAGTGACTAAATCACTATTATTATTTTTTTGTTGGCGAAATAGAGCAAAAATAGACAATATGGTGTCTAAAGCGTAAGTCTATTAATATTAACTTGTTTATTGAACTGTTGTTCAATACAACATTTGTGATTTTTGCGGAATAAAATGGCACTCTTCGTGTGATATTGATTAACTATATGAAATTATAGAAATATACACATTTTCTGCCCCCATCTTGAATTTTGGGAGCATTCTGCATTTTAAGACTGAATCATGCAGTGAAAGAACGCACTCTTAATGAGCACAGTCAGTCTAGCTAGTGTTTAAGCACTCATAACTCCTCTTATAATCTGTATGATAAATTAATCTCTTACTTTTATCGTCTGCACTTTTGTTGCTTATGATGAGGGAATTCACAAGTTTCAGTCTGAACAAAATTCAGCGATGACTAATCTGTCAGTTATATTAAATTATAGTCTTTGATCTTTCAAGCTGTTTAATGGCAGTCAGTGGGTGTTGCAGTGCATCAGTCCAAAAGAAGGGAAATTAAAAGTGCCCATCCACAATAAAAAGTGTCTCACACGGCTCCGGGGGGTGAACAAAGGCCTCCTGTAGCGAATCAATGCGTTTTTGTAAGAAAAATAACCATATTTAAAACGTAATAATCACTTTAATGTAGCTTGTGCTCACTGTTGTGCACGGAAGCAGCGCCAGGCGGATGACGTAAGGTGTCAGCGTTGCGCATGCGCCGCTCAGAAATGACGAACGCGGAAGCGCAGGGGAGAGATCAAAACAAAACAACGGTCACGAATTAGAAGTACAAAACAAGGATTTGTAAAGAAGAATGTCAGAGGATTTCGATATAAGCCAAGAGGAGACTGGTTTTCCTTTGCTAAAGTAAGGAAACTTTGCTTCCCTTGCTCCTGTAAACAAACGTTGGTTTTCATAAGACTCACCGGCGCATGCACAACGCCGACATCTTACATCATCCGCCCGGAGCTGCTTCCGTGTACAACTATTGGCGCAAGCTAGATTAAAGTGATTATTACGTTTTGAATATGGAAATTTTTCTTACAAAAACGCATCGATTTGCTACAGAAGGCCTTTGTTCACCCCCCAGAGCCGTGTAAGACACTTTTTATTATAGATGGATGCTTTTTATTTGACTTCTTTTGGACTGAAGCACTGCAACACCCGCTGACTGCCATTAAACAGCTTGAAAGATCAAAGACAATTTTTAATATAACGCCAACTGGATTCGTCTGAAAGAAGAAAGTCATATACACCTAGGATGCCTTGAGGGTGAGTAATTTATGGGCTAATTTTCATTTTTGGGTGAACTAACCCTTTAATGCTTATGGATGTGTACACTACCATTAAGAAGTTTGGGGTCAGTAAGAATAATACTTTTATTCAGCAAGGATGCATTGAATTGAGTCTTAAAATGCTGTTCTTTGCTGCTGTGTACAAAAAATATATCATAGTTTACACAAAACCTGGTTTAAACATTGATAATAAGAAGAAAAATATCTTGAGCAGCAAATCAGCATATTAGAAGGATTTCTGAAGGATCATGCAACACTGAAGACTGGAGTAATGATGCTGAAAATCCAGCTTTGCCATCACAGGAATATATTACATATTTATTTAGAATAGAAAACATTTTAAACTGTAATAATATTTCACAATTTCCCCACTGTATTTTTGATCAAATAAATTCAGGATAGGTCAGCATAAGAGAATTCTTTCAAAAGCATCTTACTGACCCCAAACTTTTGGACAGTATGTATGTTTGAGAAATAAATGCTTGAATATCTAGTACACTAATTTATCAAATTTACATATTTGCTTTTTTACATTTGGCTACACGAGTTGTTCTGTATTTTCCAGCATACATTACTGATCTGATCCTGGGCCTTCCTCAGTCTCTGTAGCTCTGGAGTATCCAAGACAAATTTGAGGCCCCGACCCTTACTCTGTTCAAAATCCTTCCTGTATTTGACCTGTAGAACAAGAAAACCAGGAAGTTGGTATGGTGTTCTGGGTGGTTTTAAGTGCGTTCCTGTTTGGTTGCGAGGGAGTTCTGTATGGTTGTTTCTAGTCCAGATTTGAGTTTATCTTTTTTTTTTTTTTTTTCAAATCCCTAACACAAAGTATGACCAATATTAAATGCAGCAGACTAATTTTGTGTTATGCAAGTACATAAAATATATTTTCACAGCTCGCTGACCTATCTTTCAGAAAAAAAAATACATTTTCTGTCATAATGCCAGGACCAGGCCGCAGTATGGACTTGGCAGCATCTTTGGGCTGCCAGGTGGAGAAGCTGAGGGGATCGGCCAGGGCACCACGGAGTAGACAGATGCCTTGCTTTTCTCCATGCTGACCTCAAAGTATCACACCCAGTCCCTCCCTGGCAGCCGAAACACTCACGCGGCTGTAAGTGATTGTCTCATCCCTTTGAATTTTCTCTACCAAAAGCAACATTTACATTTAGTCATTTTGCAGACGCTTTTATCCACAGCAACTTACAATTAACAAATAACATTATCCTACCCTAGATATGCCCCCTTTAGATTTAGATTTATCATGTGTAATAATGTGATTACAGTGTACTACACATTACATAGTGAACAAGTGATCTTACCTGACTTTGGAGCTCGCTTTGCTGTCTCAGTCGTAGGTTCTCTGGGGTGTCTGTCACAATTGTAAAGGTCTGTTTTGGATAGTGCCTTTTTGGAGAAAGGAAGTGAGTCATTTTGGGCTTTTGGACTCTACCATATTCGTGTTCTATCAAATAAGTAGAATTCGGGTTATTAGTAAACATTTATTTTATGTATTTTCAACACCTCCCATTTAACTACAAATTACCAGTGTATATGAACGTAAGTAATTAATAAACTGGCATTTTTA